AAGTGACATCATGGAGAAGACCCGACAGAAATGGAATGTGGGGATCAACAAAACTCTTGCCTACAGGGCAAAGACCATGACAATTGATATTGTAGATGGATCTTTTAGAGAGTAGTACAAAAGATTACATGACTATGCACATGAACTACTTAGGTCCAATCCAGGTTCAACAGTTAAAGTTACAAGTCAACCATACCAAGATGGAGAAGAAAGCATTGAGAATCCTGATCTCAGTTGAGCCCTCATTTTCAAAGGATCTACATCTGTTTTAAGGCATGCGAGGAAAAAATTTTCAAATGTCGGCCTATAATAGGATTGGATGGTTGCTTCTTGAAAGGTTACTATGGTGGACATATTCTTTCTGCAACTAGAAGGGATCCAAATGACCAGATGGTGCCAATTGCATTTGCTGTTGTGGAAGGAGAAACCAAAGATTCATGGAGTTAGTTCCTTGAATTGCTTATATATGATCTTAGAGGTACAAGGTTGTGAAAAACATACACATTCATAAGTGACCAATAAAAGGTACTTAATTAATTTCTTTAATATGTTGTTCATTTCTAGAATTGATTATATCTATTTGATGAATGATGCATACTTATATATAGGGACTGTTACCAGCTCTAGAAGAACTGCTGCCACAAGTGAACCAAAGATTTCGTGTCAGGTATATATCTTAATATATGAATGTTTTTGGAACATAATAATTGGTCTGTAAATGAAGAACTGTTGCATACTTATTGAAACTTATTAATTGGTCTGTAAATGAAGAACTGTTGCATACTTATTGAAACTTATTAATTGGTCTGTAAATGAAGGCATCTATATAACAGTTTTAGGAAGAAACTCCCAGGAATTAAACTCAAGGAGTTAATGTAGAAAGTTGCTACATCTAGTTATACAAATTCTTTTAAAAGAGCAATGCTGGAAATGAAGGCTATTAATGTAAAATCATTCAAGCATTTAATAAAGTTAACAACTAGGTTTTGGACCAAGGCTTTCTTCAAAACCAATCATTTATGTGATACCCTGGTGAACAACATGTCAGAGGCTTTCAACTCTGTGTTTGTGATAGCTAGGTCCAAGCTAATCATAACAATGATTGAAGAAATCAAAGTATATCTTGCAAAGATGGGAATCAAACAGATAGAAAATTGCCAAGTTTGAAGGTGATATTCTACCCAATATCAAGAAAAAGATGGCAAAAGAACTCGAAAAAATAAACAGCTGGACTATGAGGTATTTGTTCATTTAAATGCTTGTTTTACATTTGTTGATCATGCTGTGTGGATGAGTTCTTATCTATTTAACAAGCGTGCAGGAGAGTACGATTATGAGGTGAGACATATCTCATATAATTGATAAAAATACACTATAAATCTATCAACCAAGGCGTGTTCTTGCAGAAAATGGATGTTGACAGGTTTACCATGTTGTCATGTTATATCTTACATGAAATCTAAAAAATTAGAGATTGAAAGTTATGTGCCTGATTGCTACAAAAAACAAATGTATGAAGCATGCTATGCACCTTTCATTTTTCTAGTTAACGGGGAATCAATTTGGGAGAAAAAAGGCTATGTTGAATTATAACCACCACCAATCAAAAGGCAACCAGAGAGGCCAAAGAAGAAGAGGACTAGAGATGCATCAGAGAGCATAGAGGATGACACTCAGCTAAAGAGAGCTAACTTTGGCATCAAGTGCAGTAGATGTCACATGATGAGGCATAACAAAGCAACCTACAAACATCCAGGACCAAGTCAGACCGTTCAACCTGAACCAAGTCAGCCTAGTCCAAGTCAACCTGAAGCATCTCAGCCTGAAGCAAGTCTTCCAGCACCAAGTCAGCCTGAAGCAAGTCATCCAACATCAAATCAACATGAAGCAACTTGATCCAATTTCACTTTTTCATGTTTGTGTAACTCAGTTTCATGTGAACACTTTATTTAGGCTTTTGTGTATTAGTCTCAATGAATACTTACTTAGGCTCTGTTGTATTGGTGACAAATAACAAATGCCATTTTATATCACTATCCTTTTGTATCAGTGCCCTTTTTGGACCAGTTTCAAGAACACATGCTATTATATTGCCTTTTTGTATCAGTGACAAAAACACATGCTTTTACAAAGCAACATATTTTGTTAAAGCAATAGTCATCAGTGACAAAAACACATGCTTTTATAAAGCAACATTTTGTTAAAGCAATATTCATAATAGGCCAGTTATAAAATAATATTTTTGTTAAAGCAATATTTGTTCAACTATATGTTATCATAGAACCATAACAGGCCAATTATAAAACAATATTTTTGTTAAAGCAATATTTTGTTCAACTATATGTTATCATAAAACCATTACAGACCAACAATTTCATACCATAACAGAAATGCTTAAACATTGGATAACATTTATAACATTCAACCCATTTTATTTAAGCAAAATCAATCATTCTTACATTCATAACATCAAATTATATATTGTGTTACCCACAAATCTATTTCAAATACATTGTTACAAGAACTATATTAAACCTTAAACTAATAATGCCAAACAAATTTGCATTTTTCAACATTCCTCTTGTGCTCAAAACCTCATTATTCAACTTGAATATTTTCTTCCTTTGCCTTTCAATCTTCAAATCCATTCCATCAACAACTTCATCTCCTACCCACTTGAAAAAATCGAATCCCTTCTACAGTTAATTTATGTAGTTTCTATAACCCCAAAACTTTTTCCCAACATTGACACTATTCAAATCTGTAACAGTATGCATTACACACTATTCTTCACACCAACACTCCATCATTTTCTTTCTTATCACAACAGATCCAAATGACCCATAACTTTGGGTGTTTGATTTTAATTTGTTGTTGGAGTTTATTGACATGTTCACATATGAATGAAAAAGGAGGAAGAAGATGATGAATAGTAACCTAACGTGAAAATATTGCATTGGACAAAGAATGAGGTTACACGGTTTATATGATGCAATATGCTTAGTCACAAATGAACACCAATCCTTGTTGGCATGCTACATCAGCGTACTTAACATTTTCACAACAAAAATAACATAATGGATCAAGTTATTTAATGGAACAACTGTTAAGGGATTACATTGTAAAGTTTATTACTTAATGGACCAAACTGAAAACTGAAATTAAGTTAAGGGACTTCAGGACTAAATAAGCCTTTTATTTATTATGATGTTATGTATAATCTATTCATGCTTTAGTATCGAAGTTATCCTTGTTTACTTGTTTTACATATTGATTTAAACTGTTATTAGGAAATACTCTTTGAATCTCGATTTAGGATAATCATCTGTTAGATTCTAAACTCTTGACATAGATTTAGATTTAACATTCACTTGAGTATCGAGTCTTAACGCTACCGTATTATTTAATAGGCTGAGAGATCTTCGATTCGACAATACGGTTGAACTCTTGTCAAGAGTTTAAACATGAACACTGTCGGCGAGCGATACATGATAATATTGATAAATGTTTAGATTGTGTATAACTAATTGGTAAATTACATATTCTATCGGTGGATGAAATTCAATCCTGGCAAGCTCTCTTCTCTCTGAAACTTTATTTATCATTCATCCGTTTTATATTTTATAGCTTTAAACCATCAAACATCTTGCAAACTTATACTTAAAATCATAGTAACTAATGAACGACATTGATATCACACCAATCCCCGTGGATACGACAAAAAAAATGACCCTTGATAGCAATACTGCAATCAACAATATTCCATGTTGTTTTGCATAATGCAGTTAATCCAAAAGGAACAATAGTTTGTAATGGCATCACGCAAGTTGTGATTGTACTTCCTTGCACATTCCATTTTAGTTTGGACATATATTCCTCTAAAATAGGTGCTTTAACGATCGCATCTGGCCGGGCGTCTGACAAAGTTAGCCATTGAGTTATCCAAGTTCAAGGCATCCTTCAAAGCAAGAAAATCCATGAAAGTCCAGTTGTTCACTAACTTTTTAGCAGAGATAACTCTTGTACCTCCAGAGCTAGGTCGTACACGGGTAGTCTTCACTTACAAATCGTTTAACAATAAGGGAAATAACACAATTGTGTTCTTAGAGAACAATTATGGTTTAGTGGTGGAAGTATTTGTAAGATTTGAGTTCTTAACCAACAACAACCAAGCCGAATATGATGTTGTCATTGTCTAGATCACACTCGCGGGAGAAATAGGAGCATAATGCATTAAATTGCAAGCGGATTCTCAGTTGGTTGTTATTCAAATAAAGGGAAAATAAATAGGAAATTAGTAGCCTTAGTGAGCGACACAATTCCATCATTTTGAATGACCTCGATTCAACAGTATATCGAGTCCATAATCCTTTTCGACAAAACCATCAGACGCGATACTATTGACTAACAATTAACTAAATAGAATTTGACTGAGAGATTAAAAATTTGTTTGTACTGACTTATTTAATCTTATCTATTGACATAAGTTTTGTAACATTATTTAAGAGGCTTAATCATAATTTTTTTAAAAAAATTCTCCCATCTATAAAAACAATTTTAATTTATTTTATAACTTGTTATAAAAATTAACTTATAAATTTTATTCAAAAACATTTATTTTGATAAATATTTGTCGGTGAATAAATTGTTTATCTAAATACGCTCTAATTTGGTTAATGTTTTGCAAAGCCCTCGACTATTTAGCACTTTCTATAAATTTAGGGATAGATTTAAGAAAAGTGTAAAAAATGTGAGACCAATTTGAGTATTTACATGCTTAAAGCACAAGTTGAAAATAATCTATTCCCTATAAAAGTATCCCGGTTCAATACTAAACCCGGTTCATCTTTCGAATCAATTCCGACGCGCCGCCATACAGTCTTGATCTCCCAAATCTCAAGGCTCTCCACACAAACAGCGTCGTTCTTCCGCAACTCAATACTCTCTCTCTCTCTCTCTCAGCCCAAACCCTAACCCTAGAGTCTGGAAGCGTCTCTCCGATGGCGTACCAGACCCCCAATCATGAATCAGGTTCCGATTCCAATAACCAAAAACGACTCTACAATCCCTACAAAGACCTCGAAGTACCTATTCGAAACCTCTACCAGCTCCCAACCTCACCCGAGCACCTTTTCGTTGAGGAGGCTGCTCGAAAACACCGCTCCTGGGGAGAAACCCTAACCTTCCTCACTGGCTGCGGCTACCTCGGCGGTTCCGTTGCCGGCGCCGGTGTAGGCCTCGTCGAAGGCGTCAAATCATTCGAGTCAGGAGATACCATGAAGCTCAGAGTCAATCGTATTCTCAACTCGTCGGGTCACACGGGTCGGACGTGGGGGAACCGGCTCGGAGTGATCGGGTTGCTTTACGCAGGCATTGAGAGCGGGATCACGGCTGCGAGAGATACCGACGATGTCTTGAACAGCATAGCGGCGGGACTTGGCACTGGCGTGTTGTATCGAGCTGCGAGAGGGGTTAGATCAGCTGCTGTGGCAGGTGCTGTTGGTGGAGTTGTGGTCGGAGTCGCTGTCACTGCGAAGCAGGCGTTGAAACGATACGTGCCGATTTGAGAACCATCATGTGTGAGCTCTCAATTTTATTTTTTGTTACCATCAATTTTGAGTATTTGATTGAGGTATAAATTGTATACCAGCTTGTGGCGGTGCTGCCCTTGCAGACAATTGGCTTAAAATTCATATTTTTTCAGCTTGAAAATGGCTAACCTTTGTAGTGTAATTTGTTTAGTGATCTTGAATGAATAATTTGGATAGCTTTAATGCTGGAAAGTTGATACAATATAAAGAAAATGTTTTTCCTATATCAATGCATACTACTGAAAGATTGTGAAAATGGTATTATACTAAAAATTTTGTGACTTGTGATATGATATGATAGAAACTAAGTGTTTAGTTACTTTGGGATTTATGTGTTCTAGGGTTTTTCTATGTGTAGATTGTAATTTATAATTTAGTCTTTAATATTAGATGATAATGCATCAGCTACTACTAACTTGTATCTCCGATAGGGTTGCTACTTGCTAGTTTTTTCTGTTATTCTTGTCTAGTTATTTTATAATAGCAACTTGTGTATTATCAATGAGTGGTAAACATAAATCATGCATGCAAGTAATTTTCTGTTTGGTTGAAAGAAAACAATTGTTCTCCATGGACGATAGTAAAAATGTCTTGAAATGGTAGATGTTGTATTAGTAAATCAATGAACTGTCTTCATTGTTAAACCACCACTTGCTCTGAGGAGCAGCATATAAATGGCTGTTTCTTTCTCAATACATGAGAATGAAAGATTGTGAAAATGGCATTATACACAAATGTTGTGATTTGTGATTGTGATATGATTCAGTAGAAGGATAGATATGTTACCTTAGGATTTATGAGTTCTGGGGATTTGCATGTGTAATTATAATTTAAAATTTATTCTTTGATAGACATTAATGCATTAGCTAGTATTTCAGACAGGGTTGCTAGTTTTTGTGTTATTCATTTTAAATTATTTTGTAATAGCAACTTGTGTAGGTCAATAAGAGGTAAACATAGTTTATGTATTCAGGTAATTTTCTGTTTGGTTGAAAGAAAACAATTGTTCTTCTCCATGGACGATTGTAAAGCACATGCTATTATCCTTTCCTTTGAAGGTCTTAAACTGGTAGATGTTGTATTAGTAAATCAACAAACTATCTTCATTGTTAAACCACCACTTCCTCTGAGGAGCGTTTTTCCCAATAGAGGAATGTTTGCCCATCTAACAAGTGACTCTTGTAGCCCGTTGAATGATACTTTATTTGGATTTGGTTGCCTTCAATCGGTTTTTTTACCATCTCTGTTTTTAGTTTTCATAGATAATAATGTTTATGGATTCCACTTATGTACTTACTACTAATTGGTGATGTGTGTCACTCTTTTGTGCAGTGAGCACATCAACAAGATGTTAGCTTGTTACTGGCATAAATGTAGAGCTAAATTTTACCTCAATCTTTTGCCTCTTAATTGATGCCATTGTTAGTTGTAGATTTTTTCTGCTCAAACCAAAAGAATAATCACAAGAGTATTTTTGCAAACCATTACCCAATGCATCTTAGCTGTCTTGCAAGGTGTTGTTTGGGGGCTAAAGCTGACTGAAGAGAAATCTTCTGGGTGAGTTATTGCTGCCAGTTAATTTATATCAAAGGGAGGAATATTCTGCCATTATTTTCTTATTTATGTGTAGTAGCACTTGGAACTTTTTCTTACATGCATATGTTGTTAAATCATATATTTATGCAACCCATGCTTAGTATGTGTATCATTCTGCTAGATTATGATATCTGGTTTCTTCAATAGTTAAAATTTTACACGACCTTGATTATTTGAACCTCCAAAAATGTAAAGGAAATGCTGTGTTGTTGTTATTTGGATGAATTTATTCTGTGTTTCCCCTTCCTGGATTGCATTATTCTGATTAGTAATTAGGATGTTCATCAGCAACCTACATGTTTTATTTCTATCTCATGTTGGATTTGTTCCGGTAAGTAATATAGAAATAGATGCTGCCCATGGTGCACCATCCTAAGAATGGTTGAACGAGAGTGCTGGTGCACTCCTATTTTACACACTCGTCAAATGTAAAAAAAAAACATCAGAGATTGAACTGAAATTGCATCTGAAGTACATTATAAAATGAAAAATATACAGATAGGTCCTTATTAGGTTCATGTTTTGTATTTCCTCTTTCATGGCCTTCTAACTCCCTGTCCCTCTCTCTCCACCATAGTCAATAGGAGATCTAGCAAGCCTGCAATGCCACTAGCTATCCCAGCAGTCTAAGCATTTATTCAACTCCCCACATCCCCTCTCCTTGTCCAAAAGTTAGAACTACCAAGCACTGTGCTAGCTTTTATGAGTCTCTTCAACACATCCCTGGGCTGATGTTTGTAGTTTGCTCTTTCTCAATTTAATTCCTTTTCTTCACTTTTGGCTTGCTGAAAATTGTTAGTAAAGCCCATAACTCAATGAAGTGCTGCGTTTAGATGGCACCGTTGACCCATGTCATGTAAAAGGTTAGGCTTTGTTTGATAGTTTGGAGGGGAGGATTTATAAATAAAGGATTTAGTGAAAAAGAATGGAGAGGGTTTTGAAGGGTTTATGTTTATTCATAATACAAAAATCTATAAAAAATCTATAGTTTTGGAGAATTCGAAAATTGTGTTGAAGGAGGGGTTCGAAGGATTTTGAAAGACTTGTTATAATATTTTGAAAATTAAAAATATGTTAACATAAATATTCATTTATTATTTTATGCAAAATTATTATTTTTAAAATGTTTTTTTAAAGTCTTCTCTTCTCTCTTAACTTGCAAACACTGACGTGCTTTGGCAGCTCATATGTAGTCAGGTCTTAGCAGCCGAAGGTGATGTTTACATGATGTTCATTGATGCAAATATATTTTTAATTGTGGTATTACAACTTGGAAAAAAATTAAAAACTATTAGTTGAGGTTTTATGTTTGTTTCTGCTGGGTAGTTTTGTTACATACTTTTTTGCGAGTCTTTTGTGCATTTAGTGTATATTCTCTCTTATCTTATTTATTAAAACAAAAATTATTTTCTAAATATATTAAACAATTAATGTATTAGGCTAATCTATAGATAAGAGGGAGCAAGGTGTGCATTGCCATGGATTGCATTATGTGGCTACACATTAGTGGTATAAAAAATGTGTACATGAAATAATTGTACATTTAAATCATGATTTTTATTTTAGACTCCTTTTCTTTTGTTGTAAGCTTAGAGCATGCTATGAGAATTGATGGTGTTCAGAATCTTACTCCTTTGAGTGTTGGAACATGGCAAAATTTTAATATGGGAATAATTTGAAAATTTTCTTAAATTTTTTTTAAGGTCAAATCTATAATATAAGAAATGTTGTTGTTCTGGAAATCAGAAAAATATCCTTCTCTTCAAATCACAAATATAAGAAATGTTGTGTTTAATTGCAACTAAATCCACCCATATTATGGTATGTTTGCAATTCCTTACGCTATTGTAGTTCAAGTTATTTATTTATTTTTAGTGTTCTTTCATTTATTCAGGGTATATTATTATAGCTATTGTATGGTTTTATCCCTTCCTTATTCTGTGTTTTTTTTAGGGTATTTTCTTTGTTTTTAACTTCTTTATAATATATTTTACTACTGTTTATTACCAAATTCTGTTATTCCTTATTCTGTGTTTTTTTTAGGGTATTTTCTTTGTTTTTAACTTCTTTATAATATATTTTACTACTGTTTATTACCAAATTCTGTTATTCCTTATTCTGTGTTTTTTTTAGGGTATTTTCTTTGTTTTTAACTTCTTTATAATATATTTTACTACTGTTTATTACCAAATTCTGTTATTCCTGCAATTCTCAAATCCATTTGTTGTTAATGCAAAGGAATTCCAAATCTCACGAGTAAATCCCAAAATCTCAAATTTTGCTAAACAATCTTTATACCTCAATCAGTTTTATTTACAATTCTTTGTTGCTCAATCTTTGTACCTCATTCAGTTTTATCTACCATTCTTTGTTGCTGCAAATAATTATTGGGATTAAGTTGGGATGAACTTAATCGTGATGATAAGATATATATCATTTGATTTTAATTGTGTTCTTATTTAGTTTTTGAAAGTTTTTAATAAAATTGTTTTTGACAAACACTAAAATTATTGTGTTATAGGGCAATCTGATGGCAAAGATTTCAACATTTCCTTCTGATATTACGGCTCTAGCCGATTATGTAGATTTTCTATTTTAGACTTTTTATAAGTCGATTTAGACTTTTTACAGATACCAAAGAAGTTATTAACTTTTGCTAATTTTGTAAATATATTATAGGGTATTCCAATATTATATTTTTTAAAAACACTCAAAATCTTTGTTTCAAAATATACTAGATTAATCATTATGATTTGTAGATGGAATATCTAGATTGCATTTATTCCAATATATTTCATGAATAAAACATTAAATTAATTAAATTTATACGTGTCTTTTTCTATCCTACACTAATTCCTTATTTTTCTCCCTCCCAAATTTTCCATCACTCACCAAAAGATAAGCTAAAGCACTCTAGGAGAAAAAAATTAAGATTTTTTTTTGTTAAATTTTTCCCTCCAAATTCTTATGGCTCTTCATTAATTTTTTTTTCAAATTTCCCTCTAAATATTTCATTGTACTTCTTTTTTGTATTATCAATTTTCTATAAATTTAGACTAACTCACCCTGTATTATGATATTAAAATGACTTTAAATCACATTGATCTCAATATTATTCCGATGGAAGAGGAAGAATATGTTTATCAACAAAATACAAATATAGTGCCTAATCTACCCGATTTAAATATCAATATTGGAGAAAGTATTGATCTTAATACCATTCCAAATATGCATATCTTTGGAAGAAGATACTCATCACCTCGTTGGTAAGTAAGGCTGGAAATGAGTCGAGTCGAGTCGAACTCACCTCAGCTCGGCTCGACTCGTTAAGAATTGTTCGAATTCGAGTTCGAGTTCGAGTTAGACACGAACTTTTTTTT